ATCTTTTCATAGGTAAACACTGCAGAAATGACTCTGACACAATGAAAAGTAGTCAGTGTAAAGTGTGTATAGCAGTGTAAATATATTGTCCTCTCAAAATTACTACAAATACAGCCAATAATAGCTGAACCCCTGGCAACAAAAGTGAGTACACCCCTAAGTGACAATGTAAAAATTGAGCACAATTAGTCATTTTTCTTCCCCTGTGTCATGTAAATCATAAGTGTTACACTGTCTCGGGTATCCACAGATAGCAGGCGAGTTAAATTTGGTATAAAAGCTCTTCCACTCTCTCAACCAGGCCACTGAAAGTTCAACATGGCACTTAATGGCAAACAACTCTCAGAAGCCCTGAAAAACGAATTGTTGCCTTACATAAAGATGGCCCAGACTATGAGAAGATAGCCAACACTCTGAAACTGTGCTGCAGCACAGTGGCCCAGACCATTCATCACTTTAAGAGGACAGGTTCTTCCCAAAACAGGCCTCGCCATGGTCAGCCAAAGAAGCTGAGTGCACATTCTCAGCATCACATCCAAAGATTGTGTTTAAAAAACAGACGGATGAGTGCTTCCAGCATTGCTGCAGAGATTGATGATATGGGAGGTCAGCCTGTCAGTGCTCAGATCATACGTCGCACACTGCATCAAATTAGTCTGCATGGTTGTGATCCTAGAAGGAAGCATCTTCTAAAGACGATGCAAGAAAGCTTGCAAACTATTTGCTGCAGACATGCAAACTAAGAACCAGGATTAGTGGAACCATGTCCTGTGGTCTAAGACCAAGATAAACCCATTTGGCTCAGATGGTGTCAAGTGTGTGTGGCGGCAACCAGGTGAGGAGTACAAAGACAAGTGTGTCTTGCCTACCATTAAACATGGTGGTGGGAGTGTCATGTTCTGGGGTTGCATGATTGCTGCTGGCATTGGGGAGCTACATTTCATTGAGGGGAAACATGAATTCTAACATGTACTGTGACATACTGAAGCAGTTCACTCAGGAAACTGGACTGCAGAGCAGTGTTCCAGCATGATAATGACCCCAAACATACCTCCAGGATGACCACTGGCTTGCTAAAGAGGCTGAGGGTTAAGGTGATGGACTGGCCAAGCATGTCTCCAGACATAAACCCCATAGAGCACCTCTGGGGCATTCTGAAAAGGAAGGTGGAGGAGCACAAGGTGTCAAATGTCCACCACCTCCATGATGTTGTGATGGAGGAGTGGAAGAGAATTTTAGTGGCAACCTGTGAAGCTCTGGTCAACTTTATGCCCAAGAGAATTAAAACCATGTGGGAAAATGATGATGGCCACACAATATTGACATTTCACATTTTCACTTAGGGGTGTACTCACTTTTGTTGCCAGGGGTTCAGCTATTATTGGCTGTATTTGTAGTTATTTTGAGAGGACAATATATTTACACTGCTATACACACTTTACACTGCCTACTTTTCATTGTGTCAGAGTCATTTCTGCAGTGTTGTCCTACGAAAAGATATAAATAAATATTTGCAGACATACTGTATAGTGACTTACAGTAATTCTACCTAGACGTAATAAAAGCATGAATTATTTAAAATAAATCATTTAGAATAGGTTTTACCTTCAGTTATAAAAGGTATATTAAAAGGTTTATAAAAGGTTTTATCATATTTTTTAATTGCAAGCAGTGCAAGTGTTTACATTATAAATAAAAATAATTTCTTAGTCAACAAATGCTCAGTAAACATGAAATGCAGTCTTAATAAGCAAAACAGACTTCTAGTATCCGAATGTTTTACCTTAGGCAGAAGCACATCTAGAATGAGGCGGACCCGGACCACCTGGACGTTTTCTGGAGAGGTGTTTATTTGAGGTGCAGTTTCACAGAGATCATGCAGATACTGGTACACCTTATCAACCTGCCCCTCGTCCTCCAAATAGAGGACTGGGCAAACCACCTGCCGAAAAGGCTTCTGGAGGGCTTGCATCCATGCAGATGACTCGCTGATGATGGCCTGTGAACACCAGACTTAGGTTAGTTGTGTCTTTAGCATTTCAGAGAAATTGTGAATTACAAATTCCTGAATTGTGAATATATGAATAACTACTGTATGTGCAAAAATCTTACCAGCAAATGGTTTTCAACTTTTCCTCTGATTATGAAGTCCACCAACTGCTCGTTGGCACGGGTACGTGCTGCCTTGGCTCGGTCAGGCAGGTTCCTTTTCTGCGAAAGGAGCTCATCTTGGTCTTCTGCACAGATGTCCTCTGCACTATTTTCAGAGATGTCACATTTCTCACCCAGAATCTCCTGACTAGGAAAGGTCAGCACAGATTTTCCCTCAGAGTACTTCCTTCTGACCGGGCAACCTGAAGTCATTTAATCAAAGGAGCATGTCTGTTAAATCAACAGCGGTGAATGAGAATGGGCTGAATTACATATATTTAAGCATGTTTTTTTTTCCATAATTTGATATTATTTTAAAAAAATCAAATCACTATTGAAAGGAAACCTACTGATGTCAGCAGCACAATATTCAATGAAGGAGCCAGAAAAAGATCCACAACCTGCCAGAAAAAAAAATGTAAATAAATTGTTTTTAATAAACATTTCATTAAAAGATGCCATAGAATGGAAGTCTGGATATACCCAGGCATAGCTGAAAATTAGAGTTCAGTACATGCATATGACATACCATGGATAATGTCGTAAATGTAAAATTCTAGTGAAAATCAGGCCAATTGGAACAAAGACTAACTGTTACATGGCACACTAGCTCATTAATATGCATGCTCAAGGCTGCATTTGACAGGCCACATCATTTCCTAGTGAGATTAAAACAATAATATTTTTTGTTCCATATTTTTAGATTTATTTAAGCTTGTACTATGTATGTAGTATGTCACACTGTGTGTGTGTGTGTGTGTGTGTGTGTGTGTGTGTGTGTGTGTGTGTGTGTGTGAGAGAGAGAGAGAGAGAAAGAGAGCAGGCACTGACACAAGCTGCGGAGCAAAGCTAATTAATATTAAACCCATTGCAAATACGATCAAAACTGATTTGTTTTCATTCTGGGGGATATTGCTTTTGTTATAAATGAGCTTATAAAATCATTTGTGGACAATGTTTTAACTTACCCAAATCACATACCTACAATGTAAATATTTTACATTTTAACATACTGAATCAATGCACTCTATGGCACCTTTAAGATGTTTAAATGCACTTCTAAAAGGAGGAAACTAAATAAATACCAATGCGGATTCTGTAGTCTGAAATCAGTTCAACAGACCAGGTTATAGCACTGCCATACTTCTCTTTTGCCATATCCTAAAAACAGTGGGAAAATTTAAGATTATTTGTAATTGTGAAAAATAGAATAATTACCACATCATTAAAAATATCATGTATTGTGTACTAAATATACTTAATACCACAAACACATTTCAAATAACACAAATATGAAAGCGAGCACTCAAAAAGAAAATGATGTGAAAAAGATTTAAACACTTTACCACCAATTTTTCATAGTCCTCACAATCAAACGGTTTTAAGTTTCTCAGAGACACAGTAAACCTAGAGATAACAAAAAGAAGATGATGTTAAGACCTATAAATGTGGTGTACAACAGACTATATAAATGAATTCTAATGAATTCTTACCCTTTCTTAGCTCTTTTTTGGTCACTGAGGTCACAATCGATAAATATAATGCTGGCTTTTTTGTTCTTGCGATTTACACTTTTAACCTGTCATACAGATGAGCACTTTATCACCAACATCACCAACAGTCTAAACAAAAAAAACAAAAAAAGCAAACTGCACAAAATTGGTTTTACTTACCACCGCAGGCCAGTAAGGGTATTTCCACATTTTGCACCACACACAAAGTCCCTCTGAGATCGACAAAGGCTCTAAAAAATCAAGTAAATTAAAGCACTGGCCAATGCTATTTTTATCTACACTTTTATTGCTCACTCACTTTTACTGTCCTGCCCCAAAAAGCTGGGCAGCTCCTCGTCATCGTCATCATCATCCTGATCATCTTTCTCCTCTTGCATGAAGAGTGAGTGGTTAAGAAGATGAGGATCCTCATGCAGGCTCAGCTCAATGGACAGGTCAGAGGACATGGTTTGATCTGTGGGCACATACTGGATTACAGCGACTCATTATTAAAAACACAGAAAACATATAACAAACTGACTTACTAAGCTTATCTGTGTCAAAGACAAGAGGTCCAATTTAGGTGTTGACATTAAATACAATGTATCTACATGCATTAAAAGCTCATTTAATGTAAGCAAGTCTATTTTAAGTTTTTAAGTAGCTTAGTGAATATGAAATATGAAGATCATCATTCTGTGCAATAGACATATTTACGTAAAAATTTTAATTAAACATTTATTCTGACCTGTACTAAATAAAATTAATATATACAATTACACTAAATATTGTAAAAAAATTATTACTGCCCAACAAGTAAAGACCTTAACATTTGAAGCATAGATGCAAGGTATAAAGGTAAAAAATACAACATTCAGTGCTCAGCATAATTGAGTACACCCCATTTTGAAAATGAATATTATCATTTCTCAGTGAATATAGGTAATGTATTTTGGTGCATCTATTAAACTGATATATTTATTTAAATAATTTTTTTTTCATTAAACATATTTAGTAATTGAAAGATAATACAATTAAATAAAAAATGACTAAAAAATTTACAAATTTTTACAATTTTTTTTGCTTCTCTTGATTTTTCCTTTTTTAGTTTGTATTTAATATTTTTCTATAACATATAAACTAATATTTTTCTATAACATATAAACTTGGCTGTACTAGTTTTTGGACCCCCATCGTAAGTTATTTTGTTAGATAAGCTCCAGATTTGGCTTCAGTACTGACTAATCTAATGTATATGCACAAATATAATATTGTATAGCTTCCTATTAAAAAATTTGAATTTTTGTGATAGATTTGTACTTATTTATGCTGAGCACTGCATGTATATATATAAATATATAATATAATATAATATATATATTTATATATATATATATATATAAATATATAATATAATATATATATATATATATATATATATATATATATATATATATGTGTGTGTGTGAGTGTGTATATAAATATATATACATATATAAGTGTATGTATGTGTGTGTGTGTGTGTGTGTGTGTATATAAACAATTATATATTAATAATTATATATAATATATAACAATAGATATAATTACATTATTAATATAGTTTATTTGGAAATTTAAAATCACATTTGATTGTGTAATTTATAGTATTAAAAATCAGTTTTAAACTTTAGGGTGCTTTCACACCTACACTTTTGTTTCGGAACGTATCTCGTTTGCCCAGTTAGCGCGGTTCGATTGGCATATGTAAACAGGGCAATCGCGCTCTGTTCCGCGCCAAAGTAATCGCTCCGAGATCGCTTGAATGAGGTGGTCTCGGCTCGATTGAAACGAACCCTGGAGCGATTCGATTGCAGTGAGAAAGCGATCCAAGCCGAGCGCGGTTTTATCACAGTGTTTTATGGATATGTAATAGGCTTACGGCTATATGAAGAGAGAATTATGAGCAGGGCAGGAAGTTTCGCGAGTCTCCGGATGCCCGCAAATGAGTGATGATCTCCCGGTAATCTCGCGTCTCCCTCCCGGTCCTCAAATAGGCATCGTCGTCACCCTTCTCACCCCTCCCCAGTGTTGGTCTCTCCTCAGACACGTCGCGCACGCGCACCCTGTCAATCACCACCAAACCACCACCTCTCCTGACAGCTAAGTGGGACGCTGCAAAATAAACCCTGACACTCTGACCAATGTGAGGAGAGTTTACTCACACGTGACTTGTTTTAGCTCTTTTGGTCCGATTAGAAACTTTGCAGTGTGAAAGCAAACCGCTCCAAGAGCAAAGAGCAACAATGTAACATTTGTAATCTCTGTTTCGGAACAACTGAATCGATTCACAGGTGTGAAAGCACCCTCAGTCGTCTGTTTTATGCCTGATATTTCACTTGATATACATGAAATATACAAATATACCCGACTCATTAGGCTCTGGTTCCTGATTTTCAGAGCAAGGACTACTCAGAGTTTGCATTTCAGCAGGAAACTCTGTGCTCTTCCTGCTGCGTTTCACTGGTGGAGAAACACTTGCCCCCTCCTGTACTTTCTTATTCGTGCTGCCTTTTGATCTTCCTCTGGTTCTCTGAGGTGTTGATGGTGAGGTGTCTGCAGGAGGTCTCTAAAAAACACCACGAGCAATGATTGTCCCAAGAAACTCAAACAAAAGTTAGCAATCAATATTGTTACAATAATGATCAAACAAACCTTTTCTAGTCTAGACTTTGTGGCATTTGGTGCTGGATTATTGTCTTCTCTTTTTGATGTCAGGGGTTGGAGATGAGAGCTTGGGGTGGAGCTTAGGAGAGGACTGGACTTAAGCCTTTTCTGTTTTGGAGTGTGGGATTCAGCAAGACACTCTGTGAATTTCCTGCTGCGTTTCACTGGTGGAGAAACACTTGCCCCCTCCTGTACTTTCTTATTCATGCTGCCTTTTGGTCTTCCTCTGGGTCTCTGAGGTGTTGATGGTGAGGCGTCTGCAGGAGGTCTCTAAAAACACCACGAGCAATAATTGTCCCAAGAAACTCAAACAAAAGTTAGCAATCAATGTTGTTACAATAATGATCAAACAAACCTTTTGTAGTCTAGACTTTGTGGCATTTGGTGCTGGATTATTGTCTGCTCTTAATGGTATTAGGGGTAGGTGATGAGAGCTTGGGGTGGAGCTAAGGAGAGGACTGGACTGAAGCCTTTTCTGTTTAGGGGTGTGGGATGCAGCAAGACACTCTGTGAATTTCCTGCTGCATTTCACTGGTGGAGAGATACTTGACTTCTTCTGTATTTTCTTAGTAGTGCTGCCTTTCGGGCCAGCTCTGGGTCTTGACGGTGTTGATGATGAGGCATCTGCAGGAGGTCTCTAAAAACAGCACATGAACAATAATAATTACAGGAATCTTAAATTGAATTTTGCAATCAATACTTATACAATGGTCTGTCATGAAACTCTATTGGGCAGTAGTGATGTGCGGGTTGTTTCAAAACCCACAGAGCCCCGAGTTGAGGTGGGTTAGGTCATAAAATTTTTTTTTTAAATGCATGTATGTTGCGTGCAACTGTCTATAGCCTATATTAAATATTTGGGAATACATATTTTCATATACTATTCAGTTCTTTGATAAGGTTACAATACGAAGGCTTAGTACATAGCAAAGTCACAAATACCAAACACCAAGCAGTTCCTGCTGCCAGCCACAAAAACTGAGAAATGGAAGTGAAGATGAAAGACGAGATTCAGGAGAAATTAAGGTCGGGAATTTACATCATTTAAAAAAAAAAAAGTCAGGCGCTACATCTAATGTTTGGAACCAGTTCTCAGAAATAGTAGCAGCAACAGACAACAGCAGTATCGGCTATGTGAAGTGCAGCTCATGTGAAAAAATATACAAACACTAGAGCCACAAAACAGGCACTTCCAGCATTGTTGTTGCCAGTTTACAGGGCGATGTTTTCAAGCACTTTCAGGTTTAAATAAAGGCTGTTTTCATTGACAATACACTGCCTATGGGTCTGTTTAATGGTCACAGGTGCGGGCGGGTTGTAAAAATAGGTAATAGCTGGACAGGGCAGGCTGGTCAAATAATTTCATAAAAGCGGGACCTGCAGGTAAAAAAAAAAAACGACCCGCGCATCCCTAGTGTGATGCAGGCAGATAAGCTTCATCCAATCTGCTTCTAACTACATGGTACAGATGATTGGTTGCCGTCACCTCAGCAGCCAATAAGTTCGCTCCTCTGTATTTAAATGCCTCTGTATTGTTTGCATTAGCGATCTGCAGCACGTTGTTGGATGCCCTCCTCCACCAGGTATAAAGTAGATCTGCTATAAGGGTTACATGTACGTTATGCCAAATATTCTCTGACAGCCGTCTGTATATATATACTTGCAGTAGCAAGTCTTGGTACTTGCTTTGCACCAATAACCAAAGCAGCAGCAGCGTAGCAGATCTATTCAGTCAAGACTAAACACAAAAACATTGCCATAAACATATTCATTACCATAGTAAATCACTCTGAGAATTGTCATGGCAAAATTAAAATAATGGTCACAAACCTTTTCTTGTTGAGACTCTCTGGCATTTGGATCATTGTATGGTGCAAAACTATTGTCATCTGTTTTTGGTTTCAGGGGTTGGAGGTGGGAGTTCCAGGGGGAGCTGAGATGTTTTTGGCTGCAGGATTCAACAAGAGGCATTTCATGCTTCCGGCTGTATTTCTCTGATGGAGATGCACTTGGCCGCTCCTGTACTTTCTTATTCTTGCTGCCTTTCGGCCTTCCTCTGGCTCTCTGAGGTGACGGTAAGGCATCTGCAGGAGGTCTCTAAAAAAGTACCACATGATCAATAATTGTCTCAAAAATGTAAAACCAAAGTTAGCAATCAACACAGTTTTAATGACTTTCACTCAGACCTTTTTTAGCCTCGACTTTCGGGCATTCTGATGATTGTTTGGAGCACAACTGTTTTCAGCTGTTTGTGGTGATAAACATTGGAGGTCAGAGGAGCTGTGGAGAAAACGTTTCGGATATTCAACAGGACACTCTGTGGACTCCCTGCTGTGTTTCACTGGTGAAGAAGAACTTGGATCCTCTTGTACTTTATTATTGTTGCGTTTCGGCCTTCCTCTGGCTCTCTGAGGTGATGGTAAGGCGTCTGCAGGAGGTCTCTAAGAAAGTACCACATGATCAATAATTGTCACAAAAACTTAAAACACAAGTTATCAATCAACACAGATTTAATGACTATCAATCAGACCTTTTTTAGCCTGGACTTTCTGGCATTCTGATGATTGTTTGGAGCACAACTGTTCTCAGCTGTTTGTGGTGATAAGCATTGGAGGTCAGAGGAGCTGTGGAGAAAACGTTTTGGGTATTCAACAGGACACTCTGTGGACTCCCTGCTGTGTTTCAATGGAAGAAAAGAACTTGGATCCTCTTGTACTTTATTATTGTTGCCTTTCGGCCTTCCTCTGGCTCTCTGAGGTGATGGTGAGGCATCTGTCGGAGGTCTCTAAAAAATACAAGGAAAAATTATTCCAGGCATTCAAACAAAAGTTACTGATTAAAAATGTAATGATGCTCACTCAAACCTTTTCTAGGCTGGACTTTAAGACATCCGGCTCACTATGTGGTACACAACTATTCTGACCTGTTTGTGGCGACAGGGACTTGAGGTCAGAGTTTGAGGTGGAGCTGAGGAGAGACGTAAACTGGAGTCTGTCCTGTAATGGGGCTTGTGGTCTGTTAGTGTGGCAGCATGAATCCTCCTTGCAACGACAAGGAGATAATGTAGTACACGTGTAAACACCTGTCGAAACATCAGAAGGAGTCTGATGATTTTGAGTTCGTTTAGAGTTTTGATGATGTGTCCTTTTAGGTTTTTGAGAGCTTAAGTGTTGTTCTGAGCACAAATTGTCTAGTACATCCAATTTAGCTTTGCTAGCAGCTACCTTTTTCTCACTTGCTTCAACATTCTTTTTTCTTCTTCCCTTGTAAGCTGTCTTTATTTGATATTTGGGGGTGGCGATTTTTCGAGGCAAGACCTGCTCAGGTTGATGTGACTTTTTAGATACACATCCATTTATATTTGTAACCTGGCGTCTTGATTTCCGTAAACAAGGAGGAGCATTTTGGTTTGCTGCTTGTGGTTTGTTCTCAGTTGCTCTCCTTCCACATGACTTCACAAGAATCAGATCTTGAGGTGCTGTGGTTCTTTTATTATGAGTAATTGATTCGGTGCCACCTGAAACTGGTTCGTTGACTTGTGTAGAGTCTGTGCGACAGGTCCTGTGAGGATTCCTTTGGCGCTTTAAAGACTCATCTGAAGAACTCATTCCTGCAACCATTGATATCTCAGCACTTTGACACACCCAATGTTGCTCTCATCGTGTTGGACTGCAAAGAAAAACACACAACGGTCTTTCAATTGTCTAAGACGTCAAAAGTGTCATGAACAACCCTATGTAACTTAATTAACCTCAAGTTTGACCGATGAAAAAGTTACATTGCAAAAGTAACGAAATGCGTGACATTGTTTGTTACAGGCTTATTTGTTGTTTATTACAACAAATAAACAACAGGTCAGTTAAATCCAATACAGCAATACAGTTTACTAAACATAACAATGGCCATGTAGATAAATTCAGCCTTTGAAACTGTGATTAGTGGATGTAAACAATTGGGTTAGCGATACTCGAACTGACACAACTCAATTATTTAAAACAGAAAAAAAGCTAAATCAAGTGTATTAGTTCTGCACTACGGCAGATAAAACAATATATACGAGCAGAAATCAACTTGAAGAAAGTATTTAAAGCAGACGAGAAGTGTTTGCTATGAGCGCTCTGTGTTAGCATTAGCAGCTCCCTGGAAAACTAATGTAAACACTGTCGCTCAGTCAGCGTATGTGGGAGTTCCCGAAAAATCTGCAAAAGCGGGTAAAACCATCTACAGTTTCAATTGCGTAACATAAAATGAGTTCCCTTGTGTAAATGGTAGTGGTATAAGACTTACTCATTTGGATCTTCAGCTGTTTACGAAGCGCTCGCGAACAGTAGCTCAAGCTCCTTTACAATCAGGAAGTTGAAGGAGTGCGAGTTCTTCTATTCCACCTCAAACGCAGTGTCTTTTTTTCTCACTTTTTCATCCAAATTACACATTTACTACCAATAAATAATGCCTAATACTGACATTAAATAACATTATTATTAAATAGCAATTTTTATAGCATTTTAAATAAAATTTTATCATTTTATTTATTTTCATTTATAATAACTAGTAAATATAAACCCATAATGTAAATAAATATATACACACACACACACACACACACACACACACACACACACACACACATATATATATATATATATATATATATATATATATATATATATATATATATATATATATATATATATATATATATACATACTAGTTATTATAAATAAACATACACATATTTATTTATCAACAGAACAAACCGCTATTATAAAATGACTCCTAATTAGTCTAACATGCCTAGTTATAAAAAAAGAAATTAGTTATTAATAAAATCTACTCTTGGAAAATATGTTCAAAAGAATTACAATCTCTACCTTCAGAAGTTCCTCATTGTCGCCTTACAAAAATTACAAAAAAATAAAGCAAAAATATTTTCCCAACTTTATTGCCATAACAATAACAAAAACAATCATAAGACGCTTCGTGGTAGCAACGTTACACAATTATATAATAATAAAAGACACAAACAACCAGATAGCTGCTGCTTTAAATGACATTTAGGCTCCATATTCAGTCCCAGTGATGTTTTCTTCATTTGTTATCCATCAACTTCGCAGTTTTCTCTGCAAAACAGAAAAAAAACAAAATGTAAAAAGTTTTCTGAAAAGACTGTATAGATGTGCTAGTCTGGGCGCAGTCACTGACACTTGTTTGGCGAGGTGAGTTGTTTTGGATTGACAGGCTTTCCTCTGACTCTCGGCTGCTGCCTGCTGACTGACCGCAGCGTCACGTAAAGACACGCAGGCGTCCAGATGATGAGACTCACCGGCCACACTCACCCGCACAGACTCCAGCAGAACTGCAGGATGAGCAACAATACACACTGTTTCTGACCATCACTTCATTCTGGACTCAAACACTTGAGTGAGTTTATATTAAAACCGAAATAATCATTTTCCAGTGGTGTATTAAACTGATTTTGTTTTTATTACAGGACTCAAACGTTGTCAGGCATTGTTTTAATCATTAATCCTTCAACTGTCTGCTTTACCAAATAGTTGACCATATTTTGACTGTTTTAAATAATGACTTTTAAAGAATGACTATTAAATAATGATTTACTCTCACAGCATTGTTGGTTTACAAAAATAATCAAACAAATATAATCCTGTTGCACACTTGATTTTGGTTTATTGTAAAAACAAAACAAGAAAACATGTTAAAGTAGAATCTATTTTATGGCATATTTAAAAAATAAAGATTATTTAGTGTTCAGAAATGTTTTATTGTGATTTTTTTTTTATACATTTTTCTTACACTTCATATTTTCCGAGGTTTTATTTTATATGTAAATTCTGATACTTTTAACATAGACCGACATATCAACCATTTGGTAGAGGTTGAAATTTATAGGAAATTATGGGATGTGTTCAAATGCATTGAGTGTGTTAACTAGCAACATTAGGAGTTAATAAATCCAATCCATTTTTTTTCTTGGTGGGGCAGTTAAAAGGTTAAGGAGACCATATTTTATGCAACAGCGTTTCACAAGTGAATACATCTTACCTAAGAATCTTTGTAAAGCAAGAAAAACTGTTCGAGAACATCATATTTGCAGTATTATCAGAATGAATTATTAATCATAAAAATTGCAGAAAGTCTGTCATATGACTAATACTATATACTACTTATTGTTAATAGGAATAATATTAATTCTTATAATAACAAGAAGTTAATTATTAACAGTATGTGTGGGAAAAAGTTTGGGACGATGCAAAAATGACCCTTTTGCTTTATTGATATCATTGTCTTTTCCTTAAAACATGCATGGAACTGTTTTCATGTTTAAAAGCACATTTTTATAAACGTATCATTATTTAATTCCTAAGTAAAATAAATACACAAACCACAAAAATATAAAATGTGACTCTGAACAAAGTTTTGAAAACATTTAATGATGCCTCTTAATGAAACAACTTTTTTTTACATCATTTTTTAAATATATCTCCATATTAGGATTTCTTACCCTCTTGTTGAGCCAGTTCAGAAGATTGTCTTTCATGTTCACTGTGATACACAAGTCTTTGATTTTCCAAAGTCGTTACGTTTTCCTTTAAAATCATCTAAAACAAGAATTAATAAACTTAACCATAATAATAAAGATCTTTTACTCTATATCTGCTCTTTATTTAACTACCCTTCCAAACTGTGGTGGTTCAGTTCACCCAAAACTGAAAATTTGGTCATCATTTACTCACCCTTCAAAACCTGTTTGAGTTTCTTTCTTCTGTTGAACACAAAAGAAGACATCCTAAAGAATGTTAGAAAGCAGCAGCCATTGGCTTCCATATAATTTTTTGTTTCTGCTATGGATTTCAATGTGTGCTGGTGTCTAACATTCTTCAGAACATCTTCATGTTCACCAGAAGAAAAAAAACAAAAACAAATGTTTACATGAGTTCAAGCTAATGGCGAGGAAGCGTTCACTTTTGGGTGAAAAATCCCTTTAACAGAAGGCATCATGGTACTCACTTGCAGTTGCAGACTCTCAGTTAAAGAAGTGTTGATTTGCTTGTGGATCTCTAAAATATAGTCCAGCTTCTTGTTCAGTCTGGTTTGATTCTCCAAGCTCAGCTGCAGTTCAGATTTCAGGACCTCTTCCTCTTTTTCCTTCATCACTTTGGCTCCCTCCATCTTTTCCATTAAGGCCTGTTGAGCAGTTTTGCATTGTGTGACACTTGCAAATGGAGGCCATGTGGCCCAAACAACAATGACGATTAAAGAGATGGTGGACCACAGCGTGAGGAGAGCCAGCATCCAGTTACGGGCCTTCTGGGAAGTGCTGGACCGGGCCATCCTGAGGAAGATCCTAGGAAAAAGCTTCTGCTGTGTGCTATGCAGGAAGGGAAGTGTGTGTTTGTGGAGGTTTCAGAGCTGTGTTTTGCTCTCTGGGCTTCGTCTCTGAATGTAGGGGAAAGCTACGTCAGCATCTCTGCCATGTTATTTTAAAGACCTTATCAGTGCTCGGAGGAATAATTGCACATTACTGTTATTGAAAACATCTGGCATTTCCCTGGAGACCATTCTTCTCATGACATTGTGCTTCTTGGAGTCTCCATGAAATCACAATCACTGCATTTTGGCTTTTATTTCAAATATGTTAGCCTTAAAGGGATATAGTTCACACACACAAAAAAATAAAAGATTCTGGCAAAGTTTACTCTACCTCAAGTGTTTTCTAACCTTTATGAGTTGAACACAAAAGAAGACATTTTGAAAAAAGCTGAAAACCTGAAATCAACGACTCCTATAGTATTCATTTTTCCTTCTATGAAAGTCAATGGTTTTCAGCTTTCGTCAAAATATCTTCTTTCATGTTCAACAGAAGAAAAAAACTCAGAGGTTTAAAAATACTTGACAGTAAATAGTGTGTACATTTAAATTTTTAAGTCAAATAACCCTTTATGGCGGGATATGCGTTTCAAAACACTGACATAATTCAAACTTTTGAGCACAAAACCAGTGAGAAGTTAACATTTTTGGAGACTGAGGTACATATGAAAGCTACACCTCAAAACAATATTTTTGTTGCTTGTTCAAACTACCCATTAATAATGAGTTGAAACAACATAATTCTTAAGTTTTCTGGGAACAAAGTAATTGTTTTATGTTCAATCAACTTATAATTGTAAAAAATTAATAGTTAAATTAATCAACTTGTGTTGGGACGACATAAAGGGATTTTGTGGAACACCGTATTTTTTGTAAATAAATAAGCCTTTCATTGATGTTTGGTTTGTCAAGATAACCCGATATTTGGCTGAGACAACTATTTGAAAATCTGCAATCTAAAGATTCTAATAAAATTTAGAAAGATTTTTAAAGCTTATTGGCAATACGGTGGCACAGTAGGTAGTGCTGTCGCCTCACAGCAAGAATGTCGCTGGTTCAAGCCTTTGGATGGGTCAGTTGGCATTTCTGTGTGGAGTTTGCATGTTCTCCCCACGTTCGTGTGGGTTTCCTCCGGGTGCCCCAGTTTCCCTCACAGTCCAAAGACATGCGATTTAGGTGAATTGGGTAAGCTAAATTGACCGTAGTGTATGAGTGTGAATGAGAGTGTATGGATGTTTCCCAGAGATAGGTTGCAGCTGGAAGAGCATCTGCTGCGTAAAACAAGTGCTGGATAAGTTGGCGGTTCATTCCGCTGTGGCGACCACGGTTTAATAAAGGGACTAAGCCGAAAAGAAAATGAATGAATGAATGAGTTTTCTAAACACATGACAAGTTGTTAACAATCCCAGTTTCACTTACAAATGATTCAAACTAACACATTTTTATGTAACAAGTTTGCATGAAGCCAAACACATGCTTTTCACTGACTTTGTGGGAACGGTTTCAACAGACCGATTCAACAACAAATTCTGATCAAATGTCCTGCTTAAGTAATACTTGCGATGGACAATCGGTTTGATCTGCTAGTTTCATTAGCAGTAAAATTAAAGCCACCACTTACTTTACTTTTATTTAAAAAAAGTCATACAGGTGTGATTAGACAACAGTTGACAAAAGAACTTCAGTATTTTACGGTGTTTTGAAACCGATTATTCATTCATTCATTTTCATCCTGCTTAGTCCCTTTATTCATCATGGGGCGCCACAGTTGGGGTCGCCAAGTTGGTCAACAACCACCAACTTATCCAGCACATGTTTTACACAGCGGATGCCCTTTCAGCTCCAACCCAGTACTGGGTAACATCTAAACACACTCGTTTACACACATACACTACAACCAATTTAGTTTATTCAATTCCCCTATACTGCATGTCTTTGGACTGTGGGGGGAGCACCGAAGAAAACCCAAGCGAACACAGGGAGAACATGCAAACTCCACACAGAAATGCCAAGTGACCCAGCCAGGACTTGAAGCAGTGACTTTCTTTCTGTGAATGACAAAAAAAAAAAAAAGAGTACAAACTAGAAGGATCATGTTAAAGCCAAAGGCAAAGAGAGATACGCACTGCTGATTTATGTCTACATCTCATGGGAAGCTAAAACTGTTCTCAGAATATTCATATATGCCATGTAGTTTAAAGTTGTCAAAGTAAACAGCTGCATCGACATGACCCCAAAAATGCAAATGTTTACCTCAGCAGCAAAACACCATAATGTTACAATGGAGATGGAAAAATCTTTTGTGTAATTAAAACTGGGGGACTTTCAACATCTCTAGACATGTTGCAAATGAAGATAAAGAGTTTATGACAAATGCTGGGATTTATGTAACACCCCACTTGACCTCCCGTTGCGCTCACACACACCAAATAAAGACACGCTGACTGTGGTCTTCTTCAGTACTTTTATTCGAATGGGTTTTTCGTATGTTTATATAAACGTAATAAAACGACACAATAATGGATACAGTACTGTAAGCAAACAGATATTGCCATGACTTTAACGAGCACAATTATTTCCTGAGAGATAATTATGCTCATTTACATATGGAATGTCACACACAAAAAAAATGGAATGTTCGAAGTGCGCTTTATGCAAAAAACTAAATAAAAGTCTGTCATTATTTACTTGCCCTCGTGTCATTTCCCAACCTGTATGACTTTGTTTAGCAAACCGCAAACTGTTTTGTACATACTATGAAAGTCCAAAACAATTTTAACCTTTACATTCCTTAATAGAAATAAAGTCATACTCGACGTGGAAAGAACTGAGAGTGAATAATAATACAAATTTTGAGGTGATCTATTCCTTTAAATTGAAGCAGCTTACCAAGTACTATATATATCTACCGCTCACCCAAAGACAGCATTTAGGACCATTATACATTTTAAAAGTAATTTAATTTATCTCACATCATAAAATAAGGATCTGATTTGCATAGGAAAGCAGACATGCAGCACCACAAATCAATTGGCATCTTAAAATTCCTCATAGAGGATTGTGTAGTGCAATGTTTCTCAACCCTGTTCCTGGAGGACCACCAGCTCTGCATATTTTCCATGTCTCCTTAACCAAACACACCTGATTCATCAGCTCATTAGCAGAGACTGAAAGACCGGTAATGGGTGTAACAGACAAAGGAGACATCCGAAACATGCAGTGTTGGTGGTCCTCCAGGAACGTGGTTGAGAAACACTGGTGTAGTGCATTACTTTTAATGTACATTAATATCCTTTGTGTTGAGTGCTGTAATTGATTCTCAAATCTTAAATATATATATATATTTTTTATCGACTATTCCAGCATGTATAATTGAGGCTGCGAGTACACAAGCTAAATGTTCGTTTCAGCTGCAACAAACTGATACTACTGTATATTGCACAAGCGAACAGCTCATTCTTAATGCATGCTCACCTTTAGAGGAAAAACATTTTTAACCGATCGAGCATTTGTTCTAAGAGTAGCACGAACCCTACAGGATTACATGAAGCTTAACGCAATATTTAAAGTTTAGTTCACTTTCTGAATGGAAGTTTCCTGGTAATTTACTCGCTCCCTTTCTTCTTACTTTCTTTAGTTGAAAATTAATGAAGGTTTTTGAGGAAAACGTGAAGTTTCTCAATATATTGGACTTCTATTGTACTCAGTGGATTTAACATCCAACCTGCTGTTTTCATGCAGCTTCAAAGGATTTCACAGACGAAAAAATAAGCAAAACGATTAGTCATTATTTAGAAGATCATAAACTTTTAAACATAAATATCAGATTTCTTTGGGTAAGACTATTATTCCTCATCTGAAATCTTTTAGAGTAGTTTAAAAACTACTGAAGACCATAGAAGTCCTCTATATGAAGAGAAAAAAATCCAGCATATTCTCCCTTAAAATCTTGATTTCTTATCGACTAAAGAAAGCAATGAATAACTCTGATGAAAAGGGGGCAAACAAATCATTAAAAAAAATGTCAATTCTGGATGTGAACTAATCTTTTAACACTATATATCTCTGAACACACCAAGCGAAGATAGTAGATAGCCATTATTAGATTGAAAAAGCAAACCTCAAGCCATGCTGGTGCTGCGAGTGTGGTTTTCAGCTGAAATGGTGCGCACCAGCTCCTCCACCCAGCGCACCTCGGAGTCCATCTGCTCAGCCAGAACTTCGTATCGGTTCTCCAGTCGTCCGAATTTGCGTTTGAGGGCATTAGCTGACAGCATGGCTGCGCGTGCCTCCTCCTGGCTCTGCCTGCGCAGGGCTTGTGCTTTCTGCAGCTCCTGTTTGATCTGACTGAGGTCTGCGGCGATGCTTTCGTTCTCCTCTTTGTACCAGCTTTCCTTCTCCTCATATATTGAGAGCAGAGCGGTCACATCCTCGCCACACGATCGTTGGTTTTTCTCCAGCTCTCGCAGACCTTCTTCGGCCGCTGCGATCTCCTCCATGACCTGGGAAAATCGCTCGAAGTTGATGTAGGTGTTGTTGGGAGGCATGCTGGAGTGGGATTTGATGGTGTACTCTTTGAGACGGGTGGTCTTCAGACGCCTGCGTTCAGGCTTGCGCTCGCTCTCTTCGGGTCGAACATTTCGTCTCTTAATGACCTGATGGGACAAGAACTGTGTTAAACACTGAACAAATGGTGGCACAAGTCAAATGGGAGAAAAAGTAAAATATTTGAACCTTGATCCACGAGTGCTGGAGACTGTCCTCGATTGTCATTCTCTTTCTGATTGTTAAAAGCAGATATGAAGTTAAATGTCAATACAAACAAATGAAAATATTTGGTTTGCTAATATTTATATTTTTAATTATAGTATTTACAAATGTTTCAAATTAACTTTATTAGTATGTCATTCTGTTATATGCCAATGTCATGAAACTGAAAAAACTAAATAGGGAAAAACATATTTAAGGTTAAATAAGGATTAAAATAATTTTTAACTGATTTCATTTAATTACTGATGATTTTAGCCACTTTTCCACTATCAGGCTGAATGGTTTTGTTTACTTAATTCCAATCTGACTCTGACTGTGTGTAGTCACCAGGAAATGATTTCATTTTTCACTGTGGTGCTATTACCAGTACTCTTTGGAATGCAATACAAATGCACCAGTCATGCAATAGGTAACAATATGGACCATGCAAAATGGACAGTGATCAGATGTTTTTGGGACATTTACTGATGTTTTCTTTATTGAATGACAAAAAAAAACAAATATTTAAATGCATAGTGCTCTTCTGTATTGTGCAAATCATACATAAACGATTTGTTGCCTGCTTAGCTATTTCGGCTTACTTTAGGTCAAACTATACAAACTATGAGTCTAATTAGATTTTTTTTAGGCTTTATATAGACACAAACACCTATATTATGAGAATTCAGTCTTGTGGAGTGTTAAGGTGTCTATTGGTGCTCTATATCTGCTGGTTTCAGACTGTTGATTGACTTTTTTTTTTGCACATAGACTGATTGGCATATTTATGCATTCAAAATGGTATGAACCGTTGGTCAATTGGATATCTATTATTTTAATTATTAACATTATAATTTAAAATACAGATCAGAGTGAACTTTTTCTCAAATTAAAAAGAACCCCCCATACATCTTGTTGACGTTCTTTAAGCCTTAATCACACCCCCCTGTAATTCGCACCGTACTCTTCTCCCTAGCCAGCTGTGTAGAAACTGGTAGCCAGAAAACAGACTGGTGATGACATGTGCACACAAGCTCTACCAGCCCAACACAGTTGGCTAACCATGCCAAGAGTTCTGGGCTTATAATGGTTTGTTGCCATGCTGTTCAAGGCTCACATTAAAACACACCTGAAAACATACCTGACGTTCGGCTTGAGAGTGGAAAAGCTTATAATGCAATATTTCTGTTTTGTTTTATTTCAGTGACCACATTGGTTTATACTACTAACTTGGGATCCTTGACGAGCAGTCGCCGAATGAAGTCCTTCGCGAGTTCACTTGTGTTGCTGAAGTACTCTTCGTCAAAGTCATAGTTGACTGCTGAAATATTGGTAAGTGTTTCTTGTTTGGTCTCACCAAGAAATGGAGAAGCCCCACTCAAGCTAAAAAGCGTAAATAATGCATTAATATTTGTCAAGCCAAATACAATGTGATCAATACAGCCAAACATGATAACAACTACTTACAGTATATAAGTGATAACTCCAATACTCCTGCAGGAAAGAAAACAAATGAATCATGACTAATTGTGAACCGAACATCTTAGAGTTGCAATGTAAATTAAACAACTACATGATTGACTCACCACATATCTGCCTCCAGCCCAAGGGGTTCATAATTTACAATTTCCGGTGCTACGGAAGATATTGGAAATTTAAGACTTTTAATAAATGTTATCATAACTAAGAGCTAAACGCAGCTTAAAATCCTACCAACAAACTCAGGAGTTCCAAAGATGTTTTTAAATTCATTTCCATCCTTAATCTGATGTGCAATTCCAAAATCGATCAACTTGATTCTGGGGTTCGGCACATTTTTATCCAACAGCATTATGTTTTCAGGCTGAAAAACACAGTGAGACAAGACTATTGTAATACATGTAAAATATTGAGAGTCTTCGTGCATCTACGTTAACAAAAGAGCAAAAACTTGTATAGCTTCATTTAATAAAAAGTATGTCTATTACCAAAATATGTAGTAGAAAATATTTAGAAAATATTCCACTAATATTTATGGCTTTTAATATTTACATTTTATTCATGTTTTCTTTGTCTAAACAAAGAGCTTAGAATGACCAAGAGGTGACACTCTATTGTAATTTGGGAAACAGCCACTAGAGGGCGCGGGGACCATTTTGGAATGAAAACTCCAATAGAACAACAGCATATTATAAGTCAGTAAAATAAACTATTAAAAGTGCTGATGATTTTGATAACAAATATTGTATTGTCGTCTTTCAGGTTGTATCTCGGCTTTAATGGGGTTTTTAAATAAATTAATTAAAAACAACGCAGCTGCTTGCCATCGCGACAGTAATGAGATCCAATGGACGGCCGATCACTTTCACTCCAAAATGGCGGAATCTGGGGCTGTTGCTGGGCGCTGCTGTTGCAATGGAACGTTCTATTGAGTGTCGCCTCTTGGTCATTCTAAGCTCTTTGGTCTAAATAAAAATAAAGGTACAATAAAACTTTTATCTTTTGGTGGTCAACACAAACAGGAGTTAGAACTTCAACTGAATATTGATACCCTTCAATTGAAAATTACATCAAAAAATCCCAACAATGTGGCATTGTATTACTGTTTTGAACTCCCAAGTTGTTTTGCCATAAAAAAGGAAACAAACAGTGCTAGTAGTTCACCGTGAGCAACTTTCGGATTTCAAGTACTGTACAACTAAACTAATGACCCTCTAATAGGGATGTAACGGTATCAGAATTTCACGGTACGGTAATACCTCGGTATGAATGTCACGGTACGGTATTTATTGAATCATTTACAGAAAAAAACAAAACTTATGAAAATACTCCAAAAAAGTGCCAAAAGTGTCAATGACATACAAATTAGCCATCTATCTGTAAGCTTTGAAACAGGAACTTCAATTTTAATAACAAAAAAATATTAAACCATGTAAAAAAATAAAGTTTCAATTTAGTATTGTTGAAAACTCATCACATTCAACATTTAATCACTCACTCACTTAGATAGAGATGGGTTTAAAGGAAAATGATCATATAAATATAATCTGGTAAAAGCTGGTATCTCTGGGCATTTACAATGTCCCCTGCAACAGAAAAAAAACCCTCTCATTTGGGACTGAGGATTCTGGGACAAGAGAGATATGACTTGGCCCAGGTTGACAGCAGTGGGTAACGTTGTGCATTGTCTTTCCCCCACTTGAGAGGACAAACCATGAGTAAGATAGAGGTCTCATGTCTGCATCAATCTGAACAGTGTGCTGACAACACCGCTATTCAGTACGCGCGCGACAACACAGCTGATAAGAACTCGCGCGACAACACAGCTGATAAGAACTCGCGCGACAACACAGCTGATAAGAACTCGCGCGACAACACCGCTATTCAGTCCGCGCGCCGCAACAACACCCGCTTTAGAGTTTTCCAGCTCTTTTTCATCCCCGCTTCTAGCAGCACACTCCATTTCCGCATTACTGGATCTGTAGCGACAACAGACCGCAAGGGATGATGGTCAAGCATGGGCTGATGGGAATTGTAGTTTTCGCTACCTCCCGTTCGCTTCATTCGCCTGAGCAAATTTTCTCAGAAGACCTATAGTTTTACCGAGTCATGCGACTTCGGTAATATCGAAAAAAATTAATATTGCGGTATGACGGTATTTACAATACCGTTACATCCCTACCCTCTAAGTCAAGATTTTATGTTTTTTTAAATAGCTTAAATCTTTTATTGGTTTTCAACTACATATTTTAGTAAGAGACATAATTTAAGTTATCAAACCATACAAGTTTTTTTTTTATCCACGGTATCCCAAAAAAAAAAAAAAAAAACACTATTATACCTTCAAGTCAAAATGAGCGATGCGTTTAGAGTGGAGGTAGTGAACTCCGTCCAGAATTTGCTTGAGGAACTGCGTGGCCTCCTCCTCAGTAAGTGACTCCTTCTCAGCCAAAAAGTCAAAGAGCTCTCCTCCAGACACCAGCTCCAGGATCAGGATCACATCGGTCTTGTTCTCAAAGATGTCATGGAGTGTGATGATGTTGCTGTGCTGAATCTCCCGAAGGATGTTCACCTCGCGCTCAATCTCCTCCCGGCTCACGCCTCGTCTGCTGGAGGACAGACGCCTCTTCTTGATAAACTTGGCAGCATATTCAGTTCCGCTGCTCTTTTCTTTGCATTTACGCACAATGGCAAACTGGCCACTGGGAAATACAGTTCATTGAAGCAGAGAAAAACAACAATTAAAAAGGGGAAAATTATGATGTTGTAATAGTTTGAATAGGATATACAACGTGCAATTTTTGCTTTCATAAGATACGATGCATTTTTTTAGGCTTTATAATTCAGTCCCACACATGGGGTGACCAGGCCCCCTGGTTTCCCAGTGCTGAAATTGAACCTGTATGTGTTACAAATATTCTTGGCTTGTAATATTAAACTCTTATAAGAAAGAGAGAAGAGAGAGAGATGCTCTGAATGCAGTAAAACTATTATTGTTTTCCTTTGGCCATGTTTTTATTCTGGAATATAATGCATTTTCCTCGTAACCTGTCAGGTCATAAAATGTTGTTGTACATCACTGCATCAAAATGATTTTACTAAACACTCGCTCCTAATGTGTAGTCATAGGGTATAGCCTTCAGGGGCAACGCGTAGTAGAGTACAGCCGTTTTTACCAACCTTGTTCCTGGAGGCACACCAACAGTACATATTTTGCTGTTTTCTCTTCTCTGATTGGCCAACACGGCTGGGTTCACTCCAAACAGGGAAAACGTGAATGAGGCCAATTCTGCGCATTTGCAGCAAATTAATCGTGTATTCTGCATTGTTGCGCCTCTGAACTCACGTTTGCATAAACTTGAATGCAATGTATTCGTGTAATATACTGAATTTCCCATCTGGTGTGAGCTGAATATAAGTGTCATTATCGCCACCTGTTGATTCTGCATCCCTATAACATGAATCACAATGCATTTTTGCGATTTCATGTGGACAGAGATTTATTTAAAAAAACAAAAGCTAGGAAAACTGTTCATAAAACTACCCGTGTGTGTGTGGACATGGCCTCACTTATCTGAAGCATTCATTTCAGGTTTATAAGGTAACATTTCAGGTTCTCTTCTAATGTTCTGATGATTTGATTCAAGTGTGTTTAGGAAGAGAGTGAATACTGTTGGTGTGCCTTCGAAAACAGGATTGGGAAACAGTGGTGTACAGAATACCCAGCCTGATGTCACGAGGAAACGTAAGTATTTTATGTTTTGCCAGTTTAGTGGCTAATTCGTACAAATTCATATGAGTTCAGTCGTACGAAATTGTACGATTTTAAAAAGGAGGCGTGGCACCTAACCCCAACCGTCATTGGGGGATGAGCAAATCGAACTAAATTATACGAATTAGATCATACGAATTTATATGAATTAGCCAATAAATCAAAAAGTTACAAATTGCTGTGAGATTGTGTTGGAATACCTTGTTATTATCGATACTAGTGGCCATTAAGTGAACTACTGTCTGAATTTGTGCATTGCCATTTTCATGCAGAAATAAGTCACTTTTGACCAATCAGCTTTCTTACATTTACAATCACTCTCATTGGTTGGTGATTATTGTTTCGCGCACAGTGAGCAGCGAAAATAAACAATGGTATAGTGGCTTACACAAATAATATTTGTATTTTCAAAATGCCAGAGGCAGTAAAGCATATATTATTTGTTTAAAAATTACAAGTAAATATGACAATGAGTCTGATCAAGAGAAGATGAAACTGCACCCCTGGATCAGGATAGCAGGAGACAGAAGCAAACTCAAGTCAGCCAGAAAACATGACGGAAAAGAAACTGGGCTCTTCTTGAATATTAGACAGAGTGGGTCATCTTCAATAGTGAAGTGAACCGAATGTGATGTTAGTAAACTGAAAAGTGATGTTTCATACGATTTATGTTTGTAGCTACATGTTTGTTTGATCCATGGTTGACCCATAACGTTATATTGCACAAATAATTACAGACTGTTCAGAAATGTGATGCTTTTTTTTTATATAACCGCTTAGTTGGTGGGCGTCTGTCACTATAACTTTTATTTCCTGGTTTTGTTCCAGAAATTGTTCATTAACAAATTAAGCACTAGCTATAACTAATAAAAAGCACTTGCCTCTCAATAACAAATTTAATCCAATAAAATGCTATGAGAAAACAGCATTTAAGAAAGCACCTGGACATAATATGTGTTAGTACCAGCTCTACAATTCACTCACATCATGTTGACGAATTAGATAACAATAAATAAATAGATCACACTGTTATGATAAAGTTTGACAAATTATTACACTCTTGACTATAGATTTGGAAAGGTGAAACTATAGTTTGTACAACAAATTGACATATCTGCATTTGGTTGACCTTTTGTTTGTTTACTTTGTTATTAGTGATTCACAAAATTGTAATAAAAATATACTTATAGATAAAGTCTTAAAAACAGATACATTAAATTTGACTAAATATAAGGCTACATCACCAATTTTTGAAAGTTGTTTAAGAAACAAGCCTAAATGCAAAAAATGACATAAACGAAGTACAAACATTGCACAAAATAAAACATTTACTGTAAATTTGAATAAAGACTTTATTAAACCATGAGCAATAACCATTTTAGCATATCCTCCATTGCACATTTAAGTACTATTTATAATAAAGTTGTTCTGTCATCTGTGGCTTTAAATACTTGAGCTGATAAAAGCAGGTCTGGCTGCCAATGTTTTTATCATCCATCAGCTGGAAATCATCAGCAGCATCAGCATCTTAAAGTGACTCAAACAATGTTGTTCTTCTGTGCTGTTATTGTTAAAGTTTTGATGTGGAGCTCTCTATTCTTAAAAAAATAAACACTGTATGGATCATTAGTTACTGTCCTTGTGTATTTTTCTAATAGCCTCACTATAGTCTCTTTTGCAGTACAGCTGTTCTCAGGCTCAGACACTGAGCATGTGCATTTTAAAGCAGTGATGTCATGCTGCAGCAGAAACCTCTACATCCATATATAGGAAGAAAGACTAGGCTTGATTCAGTGTTTGCAGATGATTAAGTGAGTGTGCTGGGCTTTTTTTAAATTGCAGGGCTTTCATAATGTTTGTTTTTGTTCTGCACTGATAAGCACAAACACTACATTGCCTTGGCAACTCTAGGACAAACAGTATGACCTATTCCTTTAAATTCTACATCATTACAGAACTTTACTGATTTCTTCATCAAAAATAAAAATAGTTTTTGAAGCATTGATTTGCTAATTTGAATTTTAATCATTGTTTTATCTATTATATGTAAAATGATTTAAGTAGATGTAGAGTTTCAAGGAGTGAAATGGCATCTCTTACCTTCCTAACTCCTCTCCCATGTCATAGTAGATCTCCACATCCTCCTGCCTGAAGCCAGCCATGATTTGCTGACTTCAAATTAATGAGCCTGTTAGAAAGGAAACAAAAACCTGAGTTGATAAGACTTAATTGAACAATTTTGACTAAACCAGATGCTGACACTTTAATGACAATGGCTATAAATGGTTTGTCAGTGTTGTGGAAAGTCAACATACTTCAGTATTTGCTTTAACCTCAGAAAAAAGGACTTTAAATTGACATGGGAATGTGAACTTGCATTAGCATAATTTGCACATTTTATTCCTACTTACGTCATTACCCACAGTAGAGGGTTGCCAGTTTTTTTTTTTTTTACTTTTCTGTCTATATCAAAGATCTTTAACAGTAGATAATATATCATTACTACAGTCCAGTAGAAATTACAAACATCTCGGAATCTGCAATAAGTGTATATCAAGCCTTAATACGTTAAGATAACAACTAACTTAGCTTATTTTAGTGTCACAGTCGAAAATAAGTTGAAAAGTTACGAAAGAGTTCGTAAGACGAATACAAAATAACATACATATATATTAATAATCCACAACATATCTAACGTTAACGTTACCGAAGCACTAATTCCAGGTAGCCATCTGGCTAACTTGTAAAAGAAACGACTAGCGATCAACGAGCAAGCTACGTTCGTTGACAAATAACGGAATACATATACAGGATATTATCTACCATATAAATAATAGTATCCAAAAGAACGAATTGTGGATAAAAAACAAACGCTGAGAGTTTTTTAACATACCTTAACGTCGCCGCATTCCTCAGCCAATGGGTATTTTCCGGTTGCTGCTCTCTGGAGAGGAGTGGCTTATTCTGCGACGTCACCGACCCTCCACCGCAGGATGATGTCAGCTGGCGTGTACCTGTTATTAATAAGAGTCTGCCAGGTGTTTGCGCTGTGATCTAACTTTAAAACTGCGTGTTAGGGCTTGTTTTGCACGTTTCCTTCGTCAGTGCCATATCATGTGTAGGCCTCAATGAATATATAATCTAATGGTTAATCCAATATTAAAAGAATAGGATAATATATTAAAACTGGCAGCATCAGTCGCGTACTTCATGTCCACTGTGTTGTTTAGAACCACATCTGTGTATCTTAAGCAAGCGGAATAATTTCAGTGAACGCACATGTGATATGCTAGTAGTTTGTAACTAATTCCTTAGTTTGTTGAAAAATAAACATGTCTACTGTAATTAGTAAAAAGGATAACGATTAAAGTCTATCAAATAAGAAAGTTTTTAACATGTTTTCACAACATTAAAATTGTATGTACTTTTTTTAATTTAGCAAAACATGAAATACAATACTAAACAGACAAACACATGTATTTGTTTCTCGATAAACACACACAATTAAGATATTTATATATACTTAAATCGTAAATTAAATTGCCAAATAAATTTAATTGCAGTTTTTGGACATTTAATTAATCTGTTATTGACTAAATTATAGATAATAGATATAATAATAGATAGTGCTCAGCAGATATAAAGACTACAGCACATTTTGAAATTTTATTTTTTTATCCATTTCTCGGTGACCCTTAACAAGTGGGAGGCACAGATGCAAACTGTTGTAATTCCTACACTGTTCACCTGATTTAGATGCAACACCCTCAAATTAAAGCTGACAGTCTGCAGTTAAAGCACATTTGTTTGTTTCAGTTTAAATCCATTGTGTTGGTATATAGAGCCAAAAATGTTAGATGTTTTTATATAAATATATACAGTGCTCAGAATAATTGAGTACACCCCATATTAAAAATTAATATTTTTCTCCATTTCTCAGTGAATATAGGTAATATATTTTGGTGCATTTAAACAAAAAACTATTTATTAAACAGATATACTTATCAAAATATTATTTTAGTCACAGAACATCTTTTGAAAAATATTATATGCAAAATATTGCATACAAATACAAAGTACATCTCACTAGAATTTTATAGATTTTTGTTTCTCCTGACTTTTGCTATTTTTGAAAATTTTATTTAATATTTTTCCTTAACATATAAATTTGGGCAACTAATTTTTGAAACATTATTTTAAGTTATTTTGTTGGATAAGCTCCAGATTTGGCTTCAGTACTGACTAATCTAATGCATATGCACAAGTATAATGTTGTAAAGCATCTTATAGAAAATAATAATTTAAATGAGAGATTTGTTGGGGTGTACTCATATATGCTGAGCACTGTACATATATTTTGTTTTTCCTAGCGAAAAAATGAAGCAGAGGGGGTGTCCCGATCAATATTATTATTGTTTTTTTGCTAAATAAAACAAACACATTTTTCATTGTTCTTGTAATGTTATTAAGTAAAGCATTGTCTTATGCAATAAACATGATCTAAAGCAGGTCGCACACCAGAAGCGCCGCTCGGCGGCGCGCCGCGCAGCGCCATGTATTTTAGAATTCTAAACATAGGTTTCTATCAGGATACACACACCGGCGCCGCAAGTCGGCGGCTGTCGGCGGCGCCCGGCGACGGCTCAGGACGCAGTTCATTTTTCAGCCGCGCCACAGAGCGCCATCTGATTAGTTTCATGTTAAATATCATTCGAATGTGCGCGTCTGGTGTGTGATACCTTAAACTGTCATGTACGCGCCGTGTCGCGGCGCCGAGCGGCGCTTCTGGTGTGCGACCTGCTTTATTCTTAGTCTATCAACACACATATGCACACATTCTACAACTCTACAATGAAACAGGAAAAAAAGACTATGTCATATAGATCGATTCATTAGGGGCTGCAAAGCAAGTGAAAAAAAAAACTATTTAAAAAATTCGTGAACCTAAAATAATTATTTTAAATATAATTTAAATGCATTTTAAGCCAAACGATTTCGCAAATCTGACTGTAGAACATAATATGACCAAGGAGTGAAAAAAACTGGACTTTTTGAAGTGAAGGCGTGGCCTAAATTTGATTAATTAGAACCATAGCCAATAGTCCACGACTAGACGTTCTCAAGCGGACGACAGTAGCCAATCGGCAGCTTACTGCAAGATGTGGGCGGGACATGCGTAAACAGCTGATGGATGAGCCGGAGGAGGGCAGTGCGGATGGGGGAGATCACAACAATCAGGCATCATGAGATTTTTGTCCAGTCTCCTTTTGGCAGCTCTTATAGTCGAACAGGTAAGACCTAAGAAGACACTGAAAAACCCGTACCCAACAAACACACAACGTTGCCTCAACGTAGCGACCTTCCTACAACGTTGTACCAACATTGTAAAAAGGTTGAGGATTCTACGTTGTTGCTAAAGGTTGTCACAACGATGTCATAAGGTTGCCATTTAAACATCACGAGGGCCGCATACTTTAGGTTGTGCTTAGGTTGCATGGACAACCACTGTACAACATTTACTGGTCACAGCTGAATCAGTTTAAATTTCAACAAGCCGTCGTCTCATTCATCAACGACCGAGGAGACGTGAGTATTGCTTTATTTCTTCTTGCTAAATAAGATACGTAAATCGTGAATATTCAAACAAACCTACGATTTCGACAACAATCTGTTCCAACATTACACACACACAAAAGCCGTAATGAAGTTGTTACGAGCGAGTAACATTTCGGCATTCCGTTCACTGGAGATTTTATATGTAATGAAATTACAATAAATGTCTGAAATTTCAATAACTTGCTAGTCATATTCGTTTCCATCTGTCCTCTCTTGTTCACTGCCTATTTTGACTTGTGTCTGCTGTGGATCTCTGAAGCTGGATTATCTGTTGAATTTGTTTCTTCCTCTGACTGCTTTCTCCATACCAACAACTATGCCTGGTCTTCAGCTGCGCTCCCTGGTCTGCTGTATTCTCCAGTCCAGAGCTTCACTGCACAGTGTCTGAATTTTAATTTATATATATATATATATATATATATATATATATATATATATATATATATATATACATTTTAATGATTTCTTGTTTACTTTTCTTGTTTGTTTACCCTTTAGTTTAATTATATATATATATATATATATATATAATCTAAACTTTATACTGTTTGTTTATAATTAGATTTGTACTGTATGTATTAAATGTTGTGAAATATATAATAAAAAGTTTGATTATATTCATTTGTGTGGCATTTTTACACTTTAAAGTTTACACATGCAGTTGTTAAATGAAATAGGAAAAATAAATGAACAATATTTAATATTAAGCAATACTGGAAAAGAATTGCTGCTTATCCTGTATTCTAGGCAGTATTGATAAACTGCCACAAAAAATATTAATACAAGTAGTAAGAACGCCGCCTCGCGGTTGCTGAATGTCGCACGACAACGTTGCTACAGCCTTCTCACGTCTTACATTTCTACGTTGTGACAATGTAGCGAGCACGTAAGCGGCAACGTTGCCTTTGAAAAAATACAACGTTGTGCAGACATCGCTACAACGTAAATGTGTTTGTTGGGTATTCTCTTTGATGTGTTCCTCTGTGGGTTTGCTATCTGGTAGTTTCAGTTTTATCCAATGAGTCCTGGCTAGATGCTATGTAGGATTAGCTTGCGGTGGACTTGAGCTCGTGCATGTTTGGGGCCCGCGCGGCCGAGTCCTCGCGCACTCCTGTTGACATGACACTCTTTTCGGACAAACTCTGATCAAACACAGGACAAACTGCTATTTTAGGTGGATCACTATTAAACGTAAACATTTATTTGATTCTGATTGTTTATACAGTAAACGGTTAAACTGTGCACGAGTATAGGTGTCGAGCTTTATTCTTCATTCTTCTACATACGAGTGCATACAGGACCACGGTGCTACAAACTTACTAAACATACATATATAAACACAACAATAGGTAAAATTACAGATGTACACAGCTAAAATCTATCAGACTGTACACATACCCTACTGTTATTAAGTGGTTATGCTTAAAATCGGAGATTTTTTAACGTAATACAAATGTAAACATGCACAGTAGGCTACCACTACAGTAAAACTCATTTAGTTGGTAAAGTGTATGTAACTATATTTAATACATATATTTATATTTCATAATCTAAAAATAATAAATTGCCTGAGAAATATACAGTTATACACAGCAATGGAAAAAATTAAATGACTTGAAATTTCTCATTTCCTTTAGATGTTTTATTTATAGTTGTGTAGACGTAATTGTTTTAGTCTGTAAATTAATGACACCTCTTCAAAATAAAAAATGTGTGTGCATAAAATAACAAAAGGTGCCATGTGTTCAAACAGATTTTACATGTTGTTTTGAAATATCGCTGTTACTTAAGCTTACTTAATAACTAGAATTTATAATTATTTATTTGGCAGGGACTGTGTACATTAATGATCATTGCTGCAAATGCAGCAGAATTAGCCAGAAGGCTGGGCAGATGTTAAAATTGTCACCCTAAAAAACAACAATTATACAATCAGTCAAACATAGTTAAGAAGCACTAAAATAGGCAGTTAAGTAGATCTTAATGAAAAATGTATATGTACAAAATAAACTAAAAACACTACCATTGTATAATAGAGATAAGAGTAATTAGGACATATTTAAACAACAAATCATTAAGAAGGCAGCCACAAGTGGTAACATGATAGGTTGGTACAAGCTAATACGAATAAAGGCACGTCTGATGTTCCATAAAGCAGATTTTTATATGTTTTTTGAACATATTGTATTTGTTATTTCTCTGATGCTCCCAGGGACAGAGTAATTGGTGGCTTTTTTTAATCACAACAAATGAAACATTGTCTTTTTCTTTTAACTTTGTACAAGGTTTTAAAGGTGTGTTGTGTGTCTATCTTAAGCACATGCAATTATTGTCCAGAGTTGCAGAAAAGGTCAGTTATGATATCCCCTAAAACATTTTTATA